GCTTGGCCCGCTGGGAGAAGTCACCCCGCCCACCTCCCACTCAACCCGCAGAATGGGAGCGCCGGTGCGCAAGTGAGTCTGAAATAAAACAATTCACTACCTGCGTTGCCCGTGTTGTCTGGCCCGGCCTTTGTTCGACGCAGGCATGGGTGCCCAGGCCAGGAGCCAGGTCCCGGCTGACAGGTGCACCTTCACAAACACTTGTGGTGTGACTGAGCGGGTACTGGTGCCCCCATGGGAGTCTGTGTCACGCTCATTTAAGACCTGCAGGTGGGAGGGGAAGTCCTGCAGCTCCTCCCAGAGCAGCACGGCTTTGCTGTCCCCAGGGAGCTGCAGGGCACCCCGGGGGGGCTCTGGAACCCGGGGCCCTTCCAGCAGAAGTACCCAAACTCTGTCCCCTCTCCTCCAGGGTGAGCAGCGTGTGCAGTGTGTGTGTGGTGGGGATGTGTGCACGGTGTGTGCAGTGTGTGTGTGTGTGTTCACAGTGTGTGTGTGGTGTGTATGTGGTGTGTGGAGTGTGTGATGGGTGCTATGTGTGTATGGTGTGTGCTATGTGTGTGAGTGTGTGTGTATGTATGTGGTATGTGTGTGTGGTGTGTGGTATGTGTGGTATGTGTATTGTGTGCAGTGTGTGATGTGTATGTGGTGTGTGGTGCATGGTGTGTGTGCAATGTGTGTATATGTGATATGTGTATGTGGTGTGTGTGTGCTGTGTATGTGGTGTGTATGGAGTGTGCAGTGTGTGGAGTGTGTGGTGTGTGCAGTGTGTGGAGTGTGTGGTGTGTGCATGTGTGTGTGTGGACACCACCTCTTCCCTGCAGCTCTGGGCAGCTGCATCGCAGGGGGTGGGTAGCTGTGCTGTGGCCCCGGGGCAGCTGCAGGGGGCAAGGGGAGAAACTGCGGGGGTCTGCCATCCTTCCGGCGCGGAAGGGTCAAGACCATATCCTTCAAACCCCCAAAGGCTGCTCCTAGGGTTTGTGAATCTATTTCTATGAAAGTCATTGCAAAGATAAACAAATTTAATCACTCTCAGTTGTACATTTAATGAACTGTCATTTTTTGGGAAATGATTGCAAATTACATATAAAAGGAGACAATTCAGAAAAAAATCAGGGCAATGATTACACGTTGCAAATGCACACTGCCTTGGGAACGCTGGGTTGGGAGGTCAACACGCCTTGGGGGGGCGGCGGGGTGCCCCTCCAGGGTCACCTAGGCGGCCGTGCGCCACGCTCAGCTTCCTGGAGCGTTTGCCAGGTGCCAGGCGCTTTCGTGACACTGCCAACCCAACAATGGGGGGAGGAGGGACGGTGACAATGCCTATTTTAATTTCTTTTTTATGCATTTCAGGGAACAAGGGATGCAGAGAGCAAGGGCAAGGAGTGCGCCCATCTATTGGCTCATCCCCAAGTGCTCCTGCTGCCAGGAACACAAGCCGGGTCTCCCACCTGGGCGCGGGAACCCAATTACACGACTCATCCCAGCCGCCTCCCAGGGTGCACTTTAGCAGGAAGCCGGAGCCAGGAGCAGAGCTGGGACTCGAACCCAATGTGGGCAGAGAGCGCCTCAAAGGGCTCCCTACACACGGGTCAGGCCACACGCCAGCCCCCACGCTGCCCACCTGGGAAAGCGTCGGGGAGTGTGAGTGACGGGCACGCGAGAAGTCAGCGAAATCCTCAGAACCAGCCCCAGAGTCTCAGAGCCGAACGAGGCAGGGCGCCAGCCCTGGGGGGCTCACGGTCTAATCACGCGTGGAGTTACCGTCACGGGCCAGAGGCCATGCCTGCCCGTGGTGGTTTCAACCCTTTAAGGGCAGGGCAGGGTTCCCGAAAATCTTCTGTGAGACACCATCACACATCTCTCCCTTGCCCTGCTCCTTAATATCCCGGGAGCAGGGCTTCTGGGCTCCATCTGCCTATCTTGTCTGAATGCCTCATTTTGCAGATGGGGGCGCCGAGGCCCAGGGAGCCAGGAAGGGAAGGGAGATGATGTCCAGGGCTGGAATCCATGTCTGCTGGCTCCTAGGCTGGGTTTGCTCCCAGCATGCCCGTGTACAGATGCTGTGACCTTTGGAGGGGGGGGGGTCTGAGCCCCAGCCACCTCTGGCACATCTGGGGCTTGCAGGCCAACTCTGACTTTTTTTCCAGAACCTGAGAGCCGCCATGGCTTGTATGTCTCCAAGAGCAGGGACCAGGTGACACGAGTCAGACGCCAGCTCTCCACCCCTGGTGGCGTTCTCGTCTGTTTTCACCTCGGTTTCAACATCTGTAAGCGGCAGTGAATTACAGTGAATTACCCACCAGCTGCCTTCTGGAAGGGGGAGTCTAGAACCTTTTGGGCCAGGCCCCAGGCCACTTCCGGGTTTTTGCCAACCCGGATTCCAGTGCTCAGGCCTGGCCTACCCAGCTCCGCGTCCCCAGCCCCAGCCCTCTGTCCCTTTCCCAGCCTTGTGCTTCCTTTCTTGCTTTCATTACAGAATAGCCAAAGGCAGGCTATGGCCCATCTGCCCATGACCCATTGTACAGGTGGAAACACTGAGGTCAGAGGAGAGATCAGCTTCTCATCACCGAGTGAGAGGGTGGCACTTCCTTCGCTGCCAGGAGCTGCCGCCTTCTGTGAAGGACTCAGCTCTGGGAGTACTGCTGCACAGTACACACGGAATAGTGATTCTCCACCATGGACACCAGACGTCTCCCCCGACTGACTCGGCAAGCAGCAGGTGTGGGGACCCTTCAGTGGGTGTGGGGGTCCCTTGGTGGGTGTGGGGGTCCCTCAGAGGGTGTGAGGGGTCCATCAGAGGGTGTGGGAGTCTCTTGGTGGGTGTGGGGAGTTTCTTGATGCATGTAGGGGTGCCTTGGTGTGTGGGGGGGTCTCTTGGTGGGTGTGGGGGTCCTTTGGTGTATGTGGGATCCCTCAGTGGGTGTGGGGGTCCCTTGGTGGATGTGGGGGTGCCTTGGTGGGTATGGGGGGTCCCTTGATGGGTGTGGAGGGTCTCTTGGTGTGTGTGGGGTTTCTTGGTGGGCATGGGGGTCCCTTGATGGGTGTGTAGGATCTCTTGGTGGGTGTGGGTTTCCCTTGGGTGTGGGGGTCCCTCGGTGGGTGCGGGGGTCTTTGGCAGTTCTCTCCCCACCCTTGTCCACAAGCCCATGGCTGAGTCTTCAGCACCCCTTTTTGGCCCTGGCTGATGCGTCCCTTCCAGAGAGTGGGGCCCAGGTCTCAGCGCCTTCTTCGCCTTCCTAGGGTAGCAGGATCTCGCTGGAATGTTTTTTATTGTGGTTAAAGATACATCGCTAGAATTTAATAACACCGTTTTATTTTCATTGCATTTATTTTTATGGTTACTTGCTATTTATAGTAATGTGATACTGAGTTTCCATTTATGGTCATGATATAACATATCTCTCTCTTTTTTTTAAAAGAGCAAGCTCATTTAAATAAAATAAGAGTTGATTTAGAGAAGGGGGCCCTGCCTGGTGCCCCCTCCGTGGAGGCAGGCAGGTGGCCGAGGGCTGAGCAGGAGCGAGCCTCCCAGCCTGGCCTGTGAGTTCCCAGCGCCTCCATTCGCGCCTCCAGCGCTAACAACCTCCGGACACCACTCCCCCCACCCCCAGCGCCTCCCTCCCTCCCTTCCTTCCTCCGGCTTTGTCTGACCTCGGCCTCCCGCCGCCAGCACCCTCACCAGGATCATGCTCTTTCCTCCTTAAGCTTGCTGGGTCCTGGCATCCACGGAGGCCTAGGCAGAGGGCCCTTCCGGGAGCTCCGGCAGGGGGTCGGTGGTGGGCGGGATCAGCCCTCGCAGGGCGACAGAGAGTGGACCCCCTGGTCCCTGTCCTTACTTTACAGGAATTCCGCTATTAGACACAAGCGCCCCATGAAAACCTGGGGACCCAGGCCTTTCTCTCCCAGCCTCTCTCCACATCCCCTGTGTCTCAGTGAGGGTTCCTAAGACGACCCAGGCATCCCCCCAAGTCCTTGCAGGAAGGAATCTGTTTCCTGGAATGTAGGCACGGAAAAGCAGCAACTTCCGGCCGCTGGAAACTCGGCTCCGTGGCCTGACATCACTAACCAGCACTTCCAAGACAGGAGCGGCTTCAGCCCGCATCAGTCACTCACTCCCTAGTGAGAATCAGCGGGCCCAAGGGGCTGCCCACAGAACCCCTGAGTGCTATGAGCGCTCAGGCCCACAGGGAATGGGTGCGGAGGCTTGAGCGTTGGGACTCGGAGTTGCCGAGGGAAGAGGAGCGGGCACCCCGAGCCCCCTCTCATCCGCAGGGGTCGCCAGGCACAATCCCTGGGGGCGGTCTGTTCTGACTCGCTGTTTTGTCTGGGTTAGGGCTGGGCCGCTACTTCCCAGAAGTGAAATGTCCCCGGGAAGCCCAGTGTCTGGGGCTGGGGAGGGGGTGTGGCCGCGGCAGAAACACAAAGAAGACAAGACAGCCCCCCCCACACCCCCCCAAGAACCAGCGGTGGGAGACACAGCCCGGGCCCTGGGAATGAAGGCGTCGTCGCTGGTCTGGGGTCAGTCCCTGCCTGCAGGAGCTCCGACTGTCCGCGGAGGTACTTGCAGCGCCGCGGGCAGCCCAGCCAGGGGTCGCAGGCCCCCGCCCCCGCTCTGCCGTGCCGGCTCTTCCAGATCCCACTCGGGGGCCAGCAAGCCGCTCTCCACCCTCGCCCAGCCGATCTTCCGACTCCAGGCGAAGCAAGGGCCAGGGGAAGAGTGGGGAGGTGGTCGGGTGTGGCGGGGCAGAGGGTGGTCTCGGGGGACTCCTCCTCCCCCACCCCGAGCGAGGCCTGGGCGCGGGGCGAAGGCGGAGCCGGCGGCAGGCAGGAGGCGAGGGGCAGCCCGCGGAGGAGACGCCACGGCAGCGGCGGCGGCGGCAGCGGCGGCTGCTGAAGCCCGGAGGGGCGGAGGTTTGGGGAGGGGAGGGAGCGAGGGGAGGGAGGGACGGAGCGGCGGGGAGGTGGGGCCGGCGGGCGGGCGGGCGGCTCCAGCTGCCGCCGGCGTCGCGGCGGCTCCAGGCTGCGGGGCGGACGCAGCGCCGAGCGATCCAGCGCGGAGCCGCACGAGGCCGCGCGAGCCCTGGCCCCAGCCCGGGCCCGAGCCCCGAGCCCCGAGCCCCGAGCCCCGAGCGAGCTGGGCCGCCTGTGCCGCGGGGTCCCCGGCCGCGTCGCCGCCGCCGGGAAGGCAGCCCGCGCCGAGCAAGTTGCGGACGCGCCGCTCAGCCCGCCCCGGGAAAGTTTCCCCCGCGGCCGCCCGCAGGAGTTGGCGCGGGGTCCCGCCGCCGCCGCCGCCGCCGCTGGAAGGTAGGGGGCTGCGCACCTCCGGGCCCGCCGTGCGCTCCGCCGTGGCGCCCCCGGGGACCTGAAGACCCCGCGCGCGCTCCCCGGGGAAAGCGCTGGAGCCGGTGGGGACGTGGGGGTATGGGGAGGGGGGGGGTCCCAGGGATCCAAGTTCCACTCAAACTAGCGTGGGGGAGTGGGGCAGGGGAGACGCTCTCGCTCCACCCGTGCCCCGAGTCGCCCGCGGGCGGGGGCCTTCGCCCAGACAGGTGCAACGCGGGTGGGCGCTGAGCGCCGTGCGGGGCCAGTGGAGGCGCCCAGAGAACTGTGTGGGGTGGCAGGTGTGGTCTCCAGGTCGGGCGTTGTGCACGAGGGAGGGACTGCGCGCCCCGCCACCCTGCAGGAGCACGGGTGGGGCCTGGGGACCCGGAGCGGGGATAGGGTCCGGGGAGCGCACGCTGCTGCCTCCGGGGTCCCTGGCAGCGGGGTGGGGCGGGGCGAGCCGGGCTGGGGGAGCCACGCTTTCTTCCCGCGCGCCGCTTATGCGCTGCAAGGTGTGTGCGGTTTGGGGACGTGGAGCCTCGGTGGTGGTGCTGGGTGGCTCCGGAGCTAGGGCCGGGGCGGATTTGGGGGGCGTCCGCCGGGAGAGCTGACTGGCTGGGGTGGGTTCGCGCCGGCTCGGGGTCTCGGCTGGCTGGAGAGCAGTGGGATCCCGCCAGGGGGCGTCCTTCTCCGGCCCTAGCGCGCCCGGGAAGGCGAGCCCTAGCTCCCGGCTCCCGGCTCCCGGCTCCCGGCTCCCCGCTCCCAGAGAAGCACGGAAACCGGGAGGTCACGGGGACCACGGACCTCGGCGCTCGCGTCCCCCTCCCCGTCGCGGGCCGCGCTGCCGTGTCCCAGGTGGCCGCGCGCCACGTGCTGGGCAGCCTTCCGGACACCGGCTGACTTTGCCCGGGAGACTGGGGCTAAGTGGATGAGTAAAGAATTCACCCCCCAGAGGAACCAGAGAGACCCTTGACACTAACAGCGACCTGGCGTGGAGAGAGCGGGCTGGGGAACTCACTTTGGGGATGACTTGGAGTTGCTGAACCCTAGGTGGCAGCGCGCACAGGTTCTGTACAAGTTGCACCCTTGTTCTCCGGCTCTGGCCCCCTCTCTGGGCGTGGGCAGGAGGGAGTCCTGGGGGCCACCCACACCTCTCCCGCCTCTCCCTGGGTGCAGGTCGGCAGAGGACAGTGTGAGGCTTCTGGAGTACTAGTTGGGTCCAGGCGGAAGGGTGGAATCCCTGGATGGCCAAGGGCTCCCTGCACCCAGCTCCCCTGCTTCTACTGATTGGTGGGAACCTGCTGCAAGCCCCTGGGTGCTGGGCCTGGGTGCTCAGAACCCCTGGGTGCCTTGGAAAGCACAGTGACCAGTGGCATCTCTGAACAGTGTTGCCTTCTTTGTCATGTGTGGGGTTGTGGGACACTGAAGGGACACTGGCAGCCCTGGGGCCCCATCTTTCTCCCTCCCTCTCTCCCTCCCTCCCTCCCTCCACTGCGCACCTGCACCCAGATGCTTCACAGATGAGCAGATCAAAGCAGGTGGCCTGGGGAGTTCTTACCTGCTCTTGGCTAACAGGTGCTCACCCAGAGGTGATGGGAATGGGGTACTCCCCAGACGGGAGGGACAGTTCCCACCTCCAGGGCGACCCACCAAATAGATATTTTAGTGGGGAGCTCTGGGGCCCAGTTGCCAGGGAGAAGGCTCGGCGTGGTGTTTGAGTGGAAGAGGAGGAGGAGAGAGCGGAGAGAGGAAAGGGTGGAGAGGCTGTTGTCTCTGGATTTGTCTTTAAGACATTCCAGGGGGCCAGAAAACAAAAGGAGGGCTGGGTTTTGTTTTGCTTTCAGTGACTCTTGTTTTTGTGCCTTGGGAAGCCTGCCCTGCCCTGGGAACCTTCGTGGGAGCCATGCCCCAAAGGCTGGCACCTTCTGGTTCTGTCCCTGCTCTGCGCCCCCAACCCACACCCCACCCATCTCACACATTGAAGACACCGTTGTGGCCCTTTCGGGCTGCTGAGGGCTGTGGTTGGATCTCCCTGTCGTGCGTGGGTTCATGCATGGATTCGGACACCCACCTCCCAGGCAAACACCAAGGGCTCCCGTTCTGCGAATGTCACGTCTCGGGCACTCTGCTTGCTGCTCACCCCTGTCCAGATCCATGTAAGTGACCAACGGCAGCCGTGAAGGCTCCAGCCTCCTCTTACTAGCAGCAGAAATTAATCTGGAGCTGGGCTCAGGACACTTTTGGGGGACTCCAGGAAGTACCCCCTGCACTTAATAAGCTTCCACGGCAGCTTGGAAATAGTGGCTGCAGGACAGGAGCTGGACGCGCCAGGTTTGCAGGGGATTCCGGGGGTCTTGCTGCGGGGGAATAGCAGATTGGAACTCCTGCTGCTCTGGGCCATCGGTGTGGCCTCAGGCAAGTCACTTCTACCCTTGAGCTTGCCTTTGCAGCCTGTGGAGTTGGCCCGAGAGGTTGCGAGTCAAACCCGGGCCGCACCCGTGCTCAGCCTCTCGGGTCTGTCTTGCCCCTCTCTGCCCACCGCCATCAGACTCAGAGCCCAGCTCCTGGGCAGACAGAAAGCTGGGCGGTTTGGGACAGAGAGGGTCCCTCTCAGAGCCCCATGTGAGTTGCCTCGAGCTGGATTCCCGGCCAGCCCCCGCTCTTCCCCTGGGAGCGCCAGTGTCTGCGGCGGGGCCGCGTGTTTCGGGGACCCCTCCCTTTGCAGAGGGCTGCTCTCCTGGCCCATTTCACCAGCTACGTACGGAGAAGGGAAATCAGGAACATTTGTTCCTGCTCAACTGGGCCGCAGCGAAGGGAGGGGACTTGGAAGCCAGCACGTTGTCCCACGGAGCAGATGACACCCGATGGGCAAACGTGCCAGCTTGGGCTCCTCCTGCCACCGGGTGGCTGGCCCCTTGGAGCACAGCGGCGTGCCATCCGAGGGAGAGGGGGCAGGCTGTGAGGGCTTTTGGAAATGAGAGAGGGGTGCAATGCTGAGCCCCGGTGCCTGCAGCTGGCTACCGCGCATCAGCCTAGCCCGCCGTGCATCCGAGCCTGCTGGCTGAATTAGTGCATTAGGCAACTAGGAAAAGAGCAGAAACACGTTCCCTGGTCGCACTCGTGAGTGCACATGTGAGTGTGTGGGTGTGGGTGTGGGTGTGTGCATTTGTGTGTGTGTGTGTGTGTGGACCAGGATGGAGTGGGAGGGCGGCTGAAACAGGAGTCAGGAGGCTTGTGTTCTAGCCCTGGTCCACATGCAACCGTGTCACCCTGCTCGGAGCCTGTTTTCCTGTTTCTCTGTAGAGGCAGCCTGACACGGTGGTTAGACTGCCTGGGTTCCAATGCAGGCTTCCTCCTGCTTCTCAGTTGTGGGACCTCAGGCCATTTAAGCTCCAGGGCCTCAGTGTCCTGGTCTGTAGAATGGGTCTAGTACCACTACATCAGATTGTTGTGAGTTGCCAACGAGATCAGCATGGGACCTGGCACATCCTGAGTGCTCCATGAGCGGTCACTGTTGTCGCAATTATCATCAGTGTTCCAGTCAGTGTCACCTGGGAGGCATAAGCTTTGGTCTTTCCCGATAATCTGGGCTTGTGTCTGTGGGTGTGGGAAGGCAAGGGTGGGCGAGCCGCTTCTTCCGTCTTTTCTTCCTCTCCCTGCCTCCTCGAGGGACTCCTGGGGTCTCAGGATTGCCCACAGGGGAGCCCTGTCCCCCATGGCAGGAAGCCCAGTGGGACGGCCCTGGGAAGACCCTGGGTTCTGGCTCTGGGGGGCTAATTTTTCATCAGCTGGGGTTTGCTCTTCCTCCTCCACCCTTTGCGTCCCACTCTTCACCACTGTACGGAGACCATATGTGCAGATAATGAGTTTAAGCTGATCGGCCCCTCCCAGACTCGCCCCAATCAGAGGCCGTCTTTCCAGGAGACGCTGGGGACTCCAAATGCGCCAACTGCTCCGTGGCTCTGCATTCTGTCTGCTGGCCCCACGCCCCCGCGCCGTGCCCCAGGCCTGCTGCAGGGGGACTCGGTTGGGACGACCGCCTCTGGCAGTTTGGGAGGGGGCACGCCAGACTGCCCGGGTGCCGGATCCTGTCCTTCCAGGCAGAAGACTGCTCTGCGCCACCCAGAGCGGTGTTGTGGGAGTGAGTGTGTGCCCTTGGCTGGCCACAGGACAATGTTTGTGCCCACAGCGTGGCTCAGATACTGGCCCCATTTGACAGAAGAACTGAGAAGAGTGAGTGGTGGGGCTGAGCGTTGAACCCGGGTGGCCCTGCCCCTCCAGCCTGTGCTCTGAGCCAGCAGATAACGGTTCTTCATGCATCCAAAGCCCCCACGAGCCTCAAAGGCCTGGGGAAGCCCACAGTTTGACTCAGCCCTGCCTTACGTATCTGTGAAAATCAGAGAAGCATCCTTAATACTGTGGCGCTAAGTGGCACCAGCTGCCACGGCCGACGACCCCCAGTCTCAGCTGTGTAATGCGGCAGGTGTAGTTCTTGTCCAGCATGTGGCTCTGCTCCGCACAATATCACAGGGGCCCAGGCGTCCGTGTCACTGCATGATGGGAGTGTGCAACATCTGAGGGAGTTATAGAAGGGAAGAGGGCATGGGAAAGCCACGTTCATGTTCATAGTCACTGCGGCAGTGGGAGGGGCGCACATCCCGACAGCCCTGGGACATCGATCAGAAGCTGCCCAGGGGTGGCTGGGAATGCCAGGGGTGGGCACTTACCCTCAGCATTTACTGTTACCTGTCGGGGCTCGTGGGGAGTAACGGAGGTGACGCCTTCAAAGCTTAGAGCATAGCCCTGGTTCTCAAACACGAAGTTTCTTTCCCTGGTGTGTGCTGCTCTTGTTTTATTTATTAAAATAGATTTATTTATTTGAAAGGCAGAGAGAGAGAGAGAGAGAGAGAGAGAGAGAGAGAGAGAGAGAGTCTTCCATCCTCTGGTTCACTCCCCAAATCGCCGCAACAGCCCGGGCTGAG